TCCAGATAACTATTCAATCCTTGATTGCATTGTTAGTCAATGTATATTTACGCTACTAACAGGTCATATTTGCTAGAGCTTGATGCTTAAACAAGCCTATGTCGCTGAAGCATGTAAACGCTATTAAAGCTTGTTAACGAACCATCAAAGCTAATTAGTTAATATAGACGACCAGTTTTTATTATCGAATGAGCTAGTAAGTTATGTGAACTAATAGATATAACATTACGATAATATATGTGACCATTAATCAAAGGACTATTAGAATAGTGGGTTTACAAAAATTAAATCCGATTGAGAAGGTTAAGGTGGAAATAAGGATTAACAATAATAGGTTGCGTTTCTTTAGTTGGGCTCACCAATGTAGAATTATGGTCTACTATGATATTAGTACTGCTCTAATAATAGACCTAATCCTAAATTTGTAGATTTGTCATGATATAACTGCCTAATCTATAAGATCTTACGTGGAAGTCACACCATCGACTACACCAACTCACTGTATCGTATCAATTACCAATACATGATGTAGAACAAGGTTAGGCTAGAGAAAGAACAATATATTTAATATGAATAGAAGATATAAAGTAACATTGAGATGGACCACGCCTGCATGGCCGAGCCATGCCATACGATCAACTCCAGTCCATTCAATTCATTGTTCGCGCCTTCTCCATCGTTAGGTATTTCTCCGCGTTAAATATTGAATATCTATTTCCTGAGTAGTCTCGTGTTCACAGCTTTGTGGATTGTGTGGCTATTGTCCAATGCCACTACAGACTCACCGTTTTATTGACCCTAGATCTGACTCCAGTTAATCGTATGAATGTTATTAAGATATACATGTCTTCTATACTCGTTTATAAATCATCGACTTTAATCGCGTTAGTGTAAAACGGAATTAAATAAGTCAAATGCGAGAATGGATTTCGACTATGTATATTTCATACATTCGTTGACTGGAAAGCGGAGCAAATTAAAATGGTGAGCATTGGAGAAGGCAAGCGAGCCAATTCAATTCAATCAAGCGTTAATTGACATTTATAGTCATACGGAAATAAATTACAGTCATGTGATAAGAGGTGCACACACATACGTTCATATAAAGTCAGGGTTGGTAGGTGAACAATTAACAAGGTCAAGACGTGAATAAAGAACGGATAAGTTGACCTGTTCAGAAGCTAGAATAAGTTATAGAGGCTTAACATAGTAGCCTGTACTACAAGCTCATAAAGTGTATTCAAAAGACAGAAAATACTATCGCCTAAGTCAAGTAAAAATCTCGGAGATATATCATGGATTAGTTTGCCAGACATTCTGTGTCATTTTTTATCGTGACAAAAAATAACTTATTTTTGTCTGGTTTATAACTGTGTCATTCAAATATGAATGGTCACTTGACAGCCCTCTTGTGTACATGTATATCTTGTCATCTATTTCCATGTGTCGTAATCGTATATATATAGCCCCCAAATGCTCTGGTACGGCCGAGAGTCCGCTCTCCCTCTCAAAATACTCTCACACGGCCACGCGTATATAGCCTCTGCCAGGGAAGTCCTACTCACTGCCTTCTCGTGGCGGGGTTGTTGTTTACGAAATTGAGAGGACGAAAAGCGAATGTCCGGCGCTTTAACCGGATCCCAAACCAATGGTGCACATGGGCGCCAGTATCCTGAAGGAACAAGTGGCGTATGAACCAATTGTTGGTCACCGGCTACAATGGGACTGCATCTCCTCACGATGCTCCACTGCCTTCTGGATCAGACCTTCAGGTCGAAGGCTCGGGGTGTGGCCCCCCAAGAAAACCACCTGCTTCGGTTTGGGCACCCGGGCAGTATCACAGCCCACACAAACACAAATATGGTGTGGCGCATATATATTTGGTGCCTCGTTGTACCAATATCTATGTGTTAAAATAAATTATATATATACGGTGAGTTGTCTTCAGCTTACACTACTTTTGGCTTGCAAAAATCAACTCACTTTACACACTGACGTTAGACGAAAGCCCGATTTCCATATTGACTTACTGTTTATTTGTGACGCATGTATGTTTGAAATATGCGTAATCAAAAGCAACTTCACGTCCGACAATTTGATTCCACGTTGTGTTCATACGATTAGTCAGAAGAATATTTACGACTTTAAATAAGATCTATAATTTATTTCAAACCTCCCATTACTAGAGTCAACAGTGATAAAGCCTGACTGTCTTTGGCTACAATATTTCCCCCACCAACTAATCGTGCCAAATTCGATACTCAGTAGCATCCAAGGAGTTTATTAATGATTTTACATGGAAAACAATGAAAATTTCATTTGCGTTTGTATTCTCATCTCAGAAGACAATTTTCAATACTTGTGTATCAATGTCAGATTCTGTTGAATACAAACTTTTGACCTATCAGTCGGAAATATCAACTTAGTAGTGGAAATCAATATTTTTATCTGTACAGGATGAGGTTGGTTATCCAAGATGTGGGAGTCTGGGAAATTGTTGCCGGAAGGAAAATCTTTCGTAGGCATTTATTTATCTCGGTAATCTTAAGCGCCTAAAAGTTGATAATGATTGGACGAGTGTGATTCCCAAGCATAAAACTTGACAGCAATTTAGAAAAATGTTGAGTACCAAATAAATGCTGTCTTTGTGCTGACACGACTGTATTATGAGCGTTCCTTATGATGTCTTACAGTTGTCAAAAAGAACTTCAACAAATTTTAAAAAACAGCAAGCTATGTCAGCACCACGAATAACATTACCAGAAGATAGAGTTTTAGGATCCTGATGTGGATTGATTGTAATGCTTAAACTTGCTTGTCATTGAATTTTGTAATACTAGGTAGATCGAACTAGGTTGATGAAATGAATAAACACACAATGTATATGAGAAGGAAAAACAACATCAGAAAACCAACTATACAGTACGCAGCTGATATTTATAAAACACTTGACAGTTATCATAACTAGGCAAACTGATGTTTGAATTGGGTCCTACAAGTTCACTTATCAGTCAGAACGCCAACATATTGAGACCTAGTCAAATTGATTGGTGCATTATAAACAGGTCTAGAAAACTATATATGGTTTGACATAGTCATTACTGAAGAACAACCAGGACGCCACGATTTCTGTTCTTGTTTGTAGTACTAATGAAGGTGTTACAAAAATTACATAAGTACAGGACGTGACACCTGACAGGAAGTGACCTAATCAGGCTAATGAGCTATGGTATAGAAATTGCTCAAGTTCAGAATTTGGTTTCCAACGCTTTGCGACTTGAGTATCAATAATGATGAATAGTTTATTTTGCTATGATATCAATCTGATTAAACCATAGGTTCTTTCGATGAGAATTTAAGGCTAGTTAAAAATACACTTAACAAGTTGCATTTGAGTTCAGTAATAACTGTTTTCTGTTACAGATAAAGTGCTACGGTGTGACATTTCTATGCCTTGATAAAATACGAGAGTTGAACACTTATTTGTTGTCGACCACTACTGTTCAGAAAAATATGGATTTATTATTGTACCAAAGGGGGGAATCGAATATGAATACAGTGATTTTGAGGGCTGTTAAAGGTATGAAGGCAGTTATCACTTTCCGGTTGCCCACACCATAGAAGGGTTCTTCTGAAGGTACCTGAAAAGAAAATTGGGTTAGAGTTGGTTTTAGTGACCTGAGAGCGTGACTGCAGTGCCTAAGGAACAACTGCTTGTGGCAGATCACACACACCTTTTTGTGTTAACTCCGTGTTTGTTGAAAACTAGCCGCTGGAGACGAAAGTCCGTGGGATAAGGCGAGGTGCGCATTTTTAGGGTGGACATTTTCTAACCCGATCCCTTCTTTGTGGGAAGACAGCATCCCTGTTATGCTGTCTGTCTAAGGGAAACATCTTACTGCTCTCACATCCCTATACAATCAGCAGTACGACTTCTCCTTCGGTCCTTGGGTTTGCAGCTTTTAATCTTACCACTCCTCAACCGACCTGCCTGGCATAGTAAGACCTTGAGGAACGATTATTCCAGTCAGTATAACTCGATTGGTTCATTACGATAAGGAAGCCCGATCACCACGTCAAGGTAGCAGCAACAATTGGGATTGTATCAGACTACATGATAATATCAATAACTATTAGAGCGGCACCGGGAAACCTGGTGATTCAAATAATTAAAAACGTCATACCTTTAGAAGAATAAAACAATTCTTCAGTATATTCAATTACTTCGAACACTTACTAAATAGTTAGAGAAGTAGAAATATTGTTTAAATGAATGAAATCAATTGTTCTACACCAGAAAAGTATATTAAATACATTGCATCTAAATAGACTATTTCAAATCTAACAAATCATTTGACAAAATAATATTCGAATGATAACTAAAATGCAATTGTGAATAAATGGAATACATTCATATAAAATTAATTTTCTTCTTACAGATATGGAATTTAATTCGAACATTCATTTATTATGTTTTTGTTTATTTAAAACAAATTATAAACCTTTATTATAATAAACAACTGAAGGTAACCGATCAGATCGAATTTCTTTAATATGTGCTTGAACATCAGGTTCAAGTTTATGAAATGGAATTGAACTGATTTGTGGGAATACAGCACAGCATAAAGGTGTTACAAGTGATAACCTGAAAGAAAAAAAGTGATAGGATATTTTTTTATTGAAGAAGAAGTAGAATAAAGATGCTGTCAATTAAATTGTTTATCGAGTCATAATTAAATTTTTTGTGTACAATGAAAAATACATTTTTTTTAAAAAATGTCCAATTACATTTGTAGTGTCGGTAACCATGTTAAGCCCTTATGCTAGCTTCCGGACATGTCAATCTATTTATTCTGAGATGGTGGAGAAGATTTGTAGTTCAGGTGGATGATTTTGGTGTTTTGTTCTCTGAGATGGATGGTTTGGTCGTGGAGCTTTCATCGTTCTTCTGAACGACATCATCAGCACAAACTTCAGGTAGAAGTTCAAACCATCCAGCTCAGAGAACGAAACTCCACCAAAATCTATTCATTCTACTTGAGTCGTATTTTGACATTGTTAATTATTCGCTAATCAACTTTGACTGTTTTTATATGAGCACATATATGTGTGTGTACACTTCTTATCCCATTACTCATCACATGTCTGTAACTTATTTTTGTGTGACTATAAATATTGATTGACGTTTGACTAAATGGAGCTGGTTACCTACCATCTCTACTGCGCGTCGTTTCGCTTCGCTCTATTCCGTTCTCTTCTCCGATATTTTGTCTGCATCAACGTATTCGAAATTCATTCTCGTATTTGACTCATTTAATTCCGATATTGACTAACGCGATTTAAGTCGATAGTTATATACGACGGTAGGCGACATACATTTTTCGGTAGCAACCATTCAATAAAAAACATTCATACGATCAAATTGGAGTCAGATACGGGCCACTAAATTGGTGAGAACCGTTGACAACATCTTCTGATCTAAATGATGACAAAATAAATGGCCCCACTAAACATTAATGAATTTTTATTAACAAAATATGTTCTGTGTTCTCTCCATGTTCTAACTAACTTATTTCAAATGTTTACAGATTGTATTTTATGAAATCGGTTTTCGATTTCATTGTAGTGCCTTTTTTCTGTTTATGATTAATGTGGCCATCTATATTACGAGACACTTATGCTAATTTAAAACTTAGCGAACCTAATTTAATTTTGATAAAGATTTATGTTGGACGACCTTCGAGAACTACGAAGGAGCCTCCAGAGGCTCTTGAAGAGCCGAAGAGTTCTATACAGTCAGAACGCAGTGGAGCTTTCTAGAATGTCAACGTGGCATGCTACCACTGGTCAGTAGCATAACATGCCTCTCTGCAGATTAGCTGAATTATAATGTTGATTCACCAAACGCTAATATCTATAAAAACCCGTAATTTTATGTATACTTAGATTCTAGCATTCAGATGCTCAAATCATATGCGGTATATTAAATATCTAAGCTTCTAGATCTAACAACTGGCGACGGGGTTAACTTATCAAGATGTCATTTACCTTTGACTAATTCGAAGCCTTGCTGGAGCGTCAAGAAAAACGTTTCGAACAGTTCCAGATTCGTATTCTAGAAGCTCTAACCCAGCAAATGAATCTAAATCAAAGGAGCTTACAGATGGTCCGTTCAAATCCCACGTCAACCACATCATTAATTCTATCCATGAATTTCATTTCGATGATTTGGCTGGAGTTACACTTGAATCGTGCTTCAAGAAATACGAATATGTATTCAAGGTCGACCTAGAAAAACTTGATGATACCGCAAAGGTCAGAGTACTGCTACGCAAACTTGGCACAGCTGAAAATGAACGCTACACCAACTTCATTCACTTCAATAATCCCAGAGACACTTCATTTGATGCAACGGTTGTAACTTTGTCACAAATCTTTGGTGAACAGTCATTTTTATTCAATATTCGTTACCAATGTCTGAAGTTGGCTAAAGCTGGAGACGATGACTGGGTGCAATACGCTGGTATAGTAAACCGCGAGTGTGAGCGTTTCAAATTATCATCAATGACAGAAGACCAGTTGAAGTATCTTGTTTTTGTATGCAGCTTGCAGTCACCTGAAGATGCCGACATCAGAACCAAAACTCTGAGTAAAATTGAACAGCGTTCAAATATAACATTATAAGAAGTAACTATTGAATGTCAGAGGTTGGTAAACTTAAAACATGACACTTCTATGGTTGAAATGACAGGAAAAAATATCTTCAATCGAAAAGCTGGTTACGTTGACAAAATCTAACAGTTTACACAAATTAATGCTACAATACACAATCCTTAATTCTCAGAAGTAAAGTTGTCAAAATTAATTGATTAGAAGATAGAAAGTAAGATAATTTGAAAACGTTAACACCTTTGAAAGAAATGCCGATTACAACACCTGTGAATCAACTTACACTAAACCGACTAAGCTAATTTGTATTGGAGCTCCCAACCAAGGATAACGAATAAGCAATTTTTGTTTTTCCAATGATTGCATCACAAAAGGCAAAATTGCTGAGGTAAGTAGATATAAAGAAAAAAAATGTCAGTTTCTATTAATTCAGTAATTATCATTGATTAATGTTGGTCGTTTATCTTCAAATACTTATTTAAAAACTCAAACAACGTGTACATAAAGTATATAAAGCCCTCGAATGCCCTGGTACGGCCTAAGGTGGGAGAGTCAGCTCTCCCTCTCCAAATGCTATCACATGACCATGCGTATACAGCCACTGTCACGGAACTTCTACTCACTGCCTTCTCGTGGCAGGGGTGTTGTTTTGCGAAATTGAGAGGACGAAAAGCGAATGTCCGGCGCATTAACCGGGCTGGTGGACATGGAGAGTTCACCTAGGGGAGTTGGAAAACCCTGATACCAAACCAGTGGTGCACATGGGCTCCGCGATCCCGAGGGAACAAATGGCATATGAACCAATCGTTAGTCATCGGCTATCATGGGACTGCATCTCCTAAAGTTGCTCAACTGCATTGTGGGTCAGACCTTCAGGTCGAAGGTTCCGGGTGTGGTTCCCTAAGAAAACCATCAGCTTTAGTTTTGGCACCCAGGCAGCATCCCAGCCCTCACGAAAATCGGATGATTTATGTGGCGCATATCTATTTGATGCCTCCTTGTACCAATGTTTAGGTGTTTAAATAAATAAATAAATAAGATATAGGCCAATTAAAATTCTGAAACTAATAATTGAAGTAAATATTGATGACATAGGATGAGAGAAATAATACTGTAATTAAAAATGAGACCAAACGCTCAACGAAGACTACGGAATGTATAAACTGGTATGGATAAGCAAGAAATGATAAAATGAGATGAGTGCTAATTAAATTAGTGATAGACAAAACACATCCTCACAACACAAAACTATCATATTATTATGTGACTTACTCATTCCAGGGGAAGCCATTAATATTCGTGATAAAACCACTTGACTAACAGCTCTACGTCCTACAACAGTTGATTTACCCAATTTCTCACCATTTTCATCCAATATAGGTGTACCTTCAGTTAGTTCTGCACTTCTCATACATGGAATATTAATACAATTAGCTGCAGAGACTGCAATAAATGGTACAAATCGACCAATTATAGGAGGGAATTTCTAAAATTGAAAAAGAAAGCAAATAAAAAGAATTTAGAGAGAAAAAAGTGCTCACGGAATATGTGCATATCTTAATTTATGAAAAGAAGATTATAGTTTCAGAGATAGTTGGTCATCTGCTAAAACACATCAAACTCCATTAGCCTGTTTATTTACAACAATATGAAACAGTGTTTGTAGTAGAACAGCAGCTCTGTCGAAATTAAATTTTTATCCTTTTTATTTTTCCCAGAAAACAACATCATTCTCTATATGATTCCCATTACTGAAAATTTGGATATTTAACTTTAGATAATGACTGATATATATATATATATAACTCAACGATAAACGTTATAAGACTATTTCATTTGTAAAATCAAATATACACTTTTATGACAGAATTTTAGATAAACAGTGATTAACACTGAAAATCTGTTTGAAAATCAAAGGAAAAAGAAACAAACAAATAACCAAATTCCATTACAAAATTAGTAATGGGTAGAAGAACAGTAAAGGGACGACTCAATCAAAATCGAGAATGTAACTTCCACGTTTAGACGTGAAATTCAAATACAACGTATGCAACTCATTCGAAACCTTAAGCTATCAACTGGTTTCGATTACAGATTGTTTTAATTGATTGTTATAACTTACTTTCATTACTGGGTGTAGTTACATAATATGTGTTTACTAAATCGACGGTTTACTTTTCTTCTTATTCTTTTCCTTTCAGATTCATTCACCTACTGCTTCCAACACTGCCCCAACACACATGGTACCTTGAGGCCAAATGTAAATCTACCAAAGGTTGGAAATTACATGGATAACGAGTAGTAGAAACACTTATGTATGGTGCTCAAAATGTTCAGAATACTTCCTTCCTTACGCCTGTTATTCCCAATGGAGCATAGGCCGCCGATCAGCATTCGCCATCCCACTCTGTCCTGGGCCTTCTCTTCTAATTCCATCCAATTCTTGTTCATTCTTCATATGTCTATCTCCATTTCCCAGCGTAATGTGTTCTTTGGTCTTCCTCTTCTCCTTTGGCATTGAGGATTCCATGTGAGGGCATGCCTTGTGACACAGTCGGGTGCTTTCCTCAATGTGTGTCCTATCCACTTCCAGCACTTCTTCCTGATATCTTCCTCCGATGGGATCTGGTTTGTTCTCTCCCACAATGGGTTGTTGCTGATAGTGTATGGTCAACGGATCCGAAGTATTTTGCGTAGACAGCTGTTAATAAAGTCTTGTATTATTTGAATGATGGCTTTCGTAGTTCTCCAGGTTTCCGCCCTATACAGTAGAACTGTCTTGACATTTGTATTGAAAATCCTGACCTTGGTGTTGGTTGACAGTTGCTTTGAGTTCCAGATGTTCCTCAGTTGTAAATATGCTGCTCTCGCTTTGTCGATCCGCGCCTTCACATCTGCATCAGATTCACCGAGTTTATCAATGATGCTGCCCAGATATGTAAAGGTTTTTACATCCTCCAAAGTTTTTCCATTAAGTGTGATTTGATTAGTGCGTGTTGGGTTGTATCGGAGAACCTTGCTTTTCCGTTTTTGTATGTTGAGATGTACTGCTGCTTAGACTGCTGCTCCACTGGTCGTCTTCTCATGTATTTGTTACTGCGTGTGCGATAAAAGAGCCAGATCATCTGCGAAGTCCAGATCGTCCAACTGCATCCTAGATGTTCATTGTATCCCGTGCTTCCCTTCAGATGTTGACGTCTTCATGATCCAGTCGATAACCAGGAGAAAGAGAAAGGGTGAGAGTAAGCAAACTTGCCTGACACCAGTCTTCACTTCGAACGAGTCTGTCAACTGTCCTCCATGCACGATTTTGCAGTTTAATCCACCATAGGAATTTCGTATGATATTGACTATCTTTTCAGGTACGCCGTAGTGAAAATGTTCAAAATGAAAGAGGAAATTTTTTGTCATGCATGGAGAAAACTGATGATCGTAAACTTATTAAATGCTTAATTCTATCTCTGTGGATTGTATATGATATGGAGAATTGACATTATCTCTAAATTATAAACTTTTATTTTAGAGACGAAGCAATCAAGGTAACCTACATGTTCTTTAGAATTGAAATCAAATGATTATCCACACAACTATTCATCAATATAACTACAAAATGTTCTCCCCCCATTATAAACCCAACTTCTAATCTTGACCGTTATCGGTCCTCATTCGTTTATATTACTTAAATACTGATTTGTTATTTTAAAAAATTGACTTTAATGTCTTATGATTTTCATTAAATCATAGAATAAACGAGCATCAAAAGTTATAACTACGAATAGTGTAATTACATTAATTTAGTAAATATTTATCAATTATAAAATGATTTGTAAATAAAAGGCTAATTCATAAACTGTATTGAATTTTCAGTTCATGTAAGCATAGATCGTTGAAAGTGGAACATAATCATGTTTTTTTTCAAAAAAATCATTTCATATGAACAATCAACTAATACCAATAATAATAATAATAATAATAATAATAATAATAATAATAATAATAATAATAATGGTGACAAAATTCACTACATTTTTACAAAAACTATTAATATGCCATATTAAAATTAATTAATCAATAGAGTTATACACTACTAAAACAGAATTAGAACAGTATATCTATGGGTCATACAACGATATTTAATAATAATAATAATAGTAATAGTAATAATAATAATAAGGATTTATTGAAATATTTCTACACATTTTGATTACCTATCAAGACTCATGTATGTGTACTTGTTCTTTTGTTTGTATATAACGAGTGAAGTAGATGTTTCATTATAGAATGAACGAATTATTAACAGACAATGTGACAGTAGAAGTGAAGATAAAATTTCAAAAAAAATTATCTATTATAACTGAGATAGAGAATCATTTTAATCATTGTGACCAAGAACAGTGAAAGCCATAATATAACATTCAAGTTATACATCAGGTATCTAGGTATAAGCCACACTCTAAATGTGAGTGTTAATGAAACTACTCTGTTGTCCAAACCGAAATAGATAGAGCTGAGTTTAAATCTCAGACTCAATGGCTGAAAGGCGAACACCTTAACCATTAGGCTTTATTGTAAGTCGTTGCTCTTAGTCACCTTTCAGTGAGTGACAACTATAACTACTCTATTCCGGTTACAATGGATAAATAACGTTATTACCTTAGTATGTACCTTCTCAAAGTTTGTTAATAATTTATCCATTCTGTTATTTTCATAACAAGACACATACTCTACCAGCCATATACATATAAATACATAGATACAAAATATAGGTATAAAATTATACTTTCTGGATCCCGAGCAAAAAGACTACCTAAACATAAGAAACATTGATAGTCACTAATGTCACTACATGGTTACGTAAGGAAGTGAAATTATTTCTGTGTGTTTTTGAATTGGGTAAACATATCAATCTGATGAAAATTGATAGGAATATAATTCATTTCAAACAATCTCATATGAATAAAGGAAGATCTTTAGAAAACATTGTTCAGATGAATGATTTATGAGAATGGTACATATTGAATCTAGTTGATACATATTCAGTTAAAAATAAATACTCATAGGAATAACATCTGGAATAAAATCATCAAAAGGAAATTAAAGAAGCATCGGAAAAGAAATGTGTGACTTCATAATGAATAAAGAGTAGATTGTTAATCACATATACTTTGAAGATTAATTTCTGTTAGAATATGGTTTGTACTTTGAAAAATGACAGTTCACAATATTGACTTAATACATCATAATTTTATGTAATTATTCATAAGACTATTACAATCCTACTCATATTGATAAAACAGTTAAAACGTTTTAATAGATGAGATCATGAGTCAACTGAAGCTAGACCACCATGGAAAACCTGGAAACACTGGACGGCCAACTCGTCCTATTGTGGGACTCCTCAGCAGTGGGCATCCATGACCAGGCTTCGCGAGATTCAAACACAGGACCTATCAGTCTCGCGCGCGAGCACTTAACCACTAGACCACTGAACCGGCATCTAACGATGTTAATGTCTAACTTCAGCTAATCCACGAAATTGAGTGACACATCCATCATTGTCTTCAGTGAGTTACTATCCCACAACAGACCCAGTTGAACTCCACTGATCACTGCTTCTCACTAGAACTCCAGGAAATATCTCTTGAACCCAATCACCAGTCAGCATATGTTTTAGCCATCGTAATTAATAATTACGTGTACATGCAATGACATAAGAGTAAATCTATTTACATATAATTGAATAGAATAATATCCACTAGTTAATAAATATATATGTAAGTGAAACCAATGGAAAAAAAAAATTGCTAATCGAAATAACAGAAAGAAATAATTTACTTGAACTTGTTTATTGATAGTTAATGCAGTGCCTAATGCTCCACCAGTAGCCAAAACATATGATATCCCAAGACGTCTGTTGGAACAGAAAAAAAGTGAACAACTTGAAGGATATATGTATATAGATTGTTTTAATGTGAAAACTAATACTTTATTAAGATGAGTGAATTAAATTAGTAACCTATCGGCTACCAATATTACGAAATGTTGGAGAAGATTTATTACGAAAGGAGGATGATTTTGGTCGATTTCCGTTTTTTAAGCTTGATGACTTCTTACTCGTGGTATTGCTTGTCTCTTGTATTTGTTGTTTGATTTGTTGAAGGGAGTTTTATGATTGATGTTCCAAAGTGAACACTCTTTTCAGATTTTTCCTTTGGTAGTTTATGATAAAATCTAAGCATCCAGGTCAGATAGGTAATTCGATTCCATTAAAACTAAGATATCCATATTGTTGTCAAGTGACAAGTGACATAGAACCTAGTACTGATGAACTCTTACCATTTAGGAATTGGGATATATCTATCTTCATGGAGCTTCATTCTTGAGCTGGATGCTTCAATAGTAGAGTTTTCATTAGCATGAACTCCAGGTGGAAGTGACCTATTCGAATTTGTCTACATATGACTTGGATCTAATTCTCGATTTTATATTCGTACATATTTTCCCACTTGAGTCCATAATAGTACAGAATGGCGTTTAAAAGTTAATTGATGCCATGTAGAAGATGAAGAAGACTGCTACTTCATCCGATGTATTTTTCTTTGCAGTTAGAAGTTTGTCATATGGATGATCTTTGGCTTTTCTCCATTTTTCATTCTATCCTTTGATTTTCATAAAATCGATTGAAGTGAGTTTGTTAGTTTATGTACTACATCTATTTTAAACGGCCTCAATAACCTTATTAAAAACTTCTGATATGTCCTCTACATATCGTAAAAGAGGGAGATGATCAAAATAAATATACACACAACGACAGGCTAAAGGTCAACGACAGCCAATCAAGATCAACGTTGTTAGTTATGTATGGCGAAATTTGAATAGCTATTTGTACTAGAAACTCCGCCTGGAGTCCCTCCGGGGGCTACTGCCGGTCCCAAGCCCGGATAAAGGAGGAGGGTTGGGCATGGGGTTAGCGTCCCCATCCCGTAGAAAACTAACTCGCTAAAAAAACGCTAACCAGAAAAAATTATTCAAACCTTTTAAACTCTGCCCTGGGAGTCAGAAGGTCTTCATTTAGAAGAATTATGACGCCTCATGATGAAAGCCGAATTCCTTCGGAAGTTACGAGGCCGATGCCCCTTCTGACAACCAGAGCGACCATTTATTTAGGTACATGGAATGTTCGTACAATGTGGGACACCGGGAGAGCCTTCCAAATTGCTGCAGAAATGAGAAGATACAACCTAGAGGTACTTGGGATCAGTGAAACACATTGGACACAAGTTGGACAACAACGACTAACTACAGGAGAGCTCCTGTTATACTCCGGCCATGAAGAAGAAAATGCACCACATACACAAGGAGTTGCATTGATGCTGTCCAAACAAGCGCAAAATGCGCTTATAGGATGGGAATCTCATGGACCAAGGATCATCAAAGCCTCGTTCAAAACAAAGAAAGAGGGCATTTCAATGAACATCATCCAATGCTATGCGCCTACCAACGACTACAATGAAGACGCTAAAGATCAATTCTACAATAGGCTGCAGTCAATCGTCGAGAAGTGCCCAACAAAGGACCTGACCATTCTGATGGGAGATTTCAACGCCAAGGTTGGAACGGACAACACTGGATATGAAGACATCATGGGACGACACGGACTGGGAGAAAGAAACGAAAATGGTGAGAGATTTGCAAATCTATGTGCCTTCAATAAGCTGGTCATAGGCGGCACCATATTCCCACATAAACGCATACACAAAACCACATGGACTTCACCGGATCACACACGCAAAACCAAATCGACCATATTTGCATCAACAAAACGTTCAGGAGGACTATAGAGGACGTGAGAACCAAGAGAGGAGCTGATATAGCATCAGATCATCACTTGCTGGTCGCCAAGATGAAATTGAAACTCAAGAAGCACTGGACAACGGGGCGGACAATATCACAAAAGTTCAATACGGCCTTTCTTCAGGATACTAACAAACTCAACAAATTCAAGATAGTCCTCAGCAACAAGTTCCAGGCCTTTCATGATCTACTCAATGGAGAAGGAACTACTGTGGAGAGCAACTGGAAGGGGATCAAAGAGGCAATCACTTCAACATGTCATGAGGTCCTGGGTCACAAGAAGCACCATCACAAGGAATGGATCACTGTTGATACACTGGATAAGATTCAAGAAAGGAGGAACAAGAAGGCAGCAATCAATACCAGTCGAACAAGAGCAGAAAAAGCCAAGGCACAAGCTGAATACACAGAAGTAAACAAACAAGTGAAGAGGAGCATCAGAACCGACAAACGTAAATATGTGGAAGATTTAGCAACGACGGCGGAAAAGGCTGCAAGAGAAGGAAACATGAGACAACTGTATGACACGACAAAGAAACTCTCTGGAAATCGCCGCAAACCAGAACGACCAGTGAAAAGCAAGGAAGGCGAGGTAATCACCAACATTGAAGAGCAACAAAACAGGTGGGTAGAACACTTCAAAGAACTCTTGAATCGACCAGCTCCACTGAACCCACCCAACATCGAAGCAGCACCCACGGACCTCCCAATCAATGTTGGCCCACCAACAATTGAAGAAATCAGCATGGCCATCAGACAAATCAAGAGTGGCAAAGCAGCAGGACCGGACAACATCCAGCAGAGGCACTAAAAGCAGACGTAGCGGCAACTGCAAGGATACTCCACATTCTCTTCAATAAGATTTGGGATGAGGAACAAGTACCAACAGACTGGAAAGAAGGACTTCTGATCAAAATACCGAAGAAAGGCGATCTCAGCAAGTGTGATAACTACAGGGGCATCACTCTTCTCTCAATACCGGGAAAAGTCTTCAACAGGGTATTGTTAAACAGGATGAAGGACTGCGTAGACGCCCAACTTCGTGACCAACAGGCAGGATTCCGTAAGGATAGATCGTGTACAGACCAAATCGCAACTCTACGGATCATTGTGGAACAATCAATTGAATGGAATTCATCACTCTACATCAACTTCATTGACTACGAAAAGGCATTTGATAGCGTGGACAGAACAACACTATGGAAACTTCTTCGACACTACGGCGTGCCTCAGAAGATAGTCAATATCATACAGAATTCATATGATGGATTACACTGCAAAATCGTGCATGGAGGACAGTTGACAAAGTCGTTCGAAGTGAAGACCGGTGTCAGGCAAGGTTGCTTACTCTCACCCTTTCTCTTTCTCCTGGTGATCGACTGGATCATGAAGACGTCAACGTCTGAAGGGAAGCACGGGATACAATGGACATCTAGGATGCAGTTGGACGATCTAGACTTCGCAGATGATCTGGCCCTTCTATCCCAAACGCAACAACAGATGCAGGAGAAGACCAGTGTGGCAGCAGCCTCAGCAGCAGTAGGTCTCAATATACACAAAGGGAAAAGCAGGATTCTCCGATACAACACAGCATGCACCAATCCAATCACAATTGACGGAGAAGATTTGGAAGATGTAAAAACCTTTACATATTTGGGCAGCATCATTGATGAACAGGGTGGATCTGATGCAGATGTGAAGGCGCGGATCGGCAAAGCAAGAGCAGCATATTTACAACTGAGGAACATCTGGAACTCAAAGCAACTGTCAACCAACACCAAGGTCAGGATTTTCAATACAAATGTCAAGACAGTTCTACTGTATGGGGCAGAAACCTGGAGAACTACGAAAGCCATCATCCAGAAAATACAGGTGTTTATTAACAGTTGTCTACGCAAAATACTTCGGATCCGTTGGCCGGACACTATTAGCAACAACCTACTGTGGGAGAGAACAAACCAGATCCCAGCGGAGGAAGAAATCAGGAAGAAGCGCTGGAAGTGGATAGGACACACATTGAGGAAAGCACCCAACTGCGTCACAAGACAAGCCCTCACATGGAATCCTCAAGGCCAAAGGAAAAGAGGAAGACCAAAGAACACATTACGCCGGGAAATGGAGATAGACATGAGAAAAATGAACAAGAATTGGATGGAACTAGAAAAGAAGGCCCAGGACAGAGTGGGTTGGAGAATGCTGGTCAGCGGCCTATGCTCCATTGGGAGTAACAGGCGTAAGTGAAGTAAGTGAATTTGTACTAGAAGTTTGTGCTGATGATGTTATTCAAAAAAACAATGAAACCTGCACGGTTAAACCATCCAGCTCAAAGAACTAAACCCCACCAAAATCATGCAATTCAGCTGTATATATATTGATTTTCTTCAAAAGGTTATGAGAATGTATAGTGAATTTATTGTATAATTTATAGATATTGTCGGTCATGATTACAGTACAAAGATAATTTGTGATAATCTTTAACTAAACAATCAGAATAAGGAAACAAAATCCCAAATTTATATACATATTCAATCCCTAGCTAAACTGTGGGCGTGTACAATATCAAACATTTTCGGGCATTTTTCCTTCTATTTAATAAACGAGCGCTACATATAAGAGCATAATTTTCCCTGAGGATTTCATTTTAAGCTCTGAATACCACTTTGATTGATTTTTTTATTGGGAAAGTTGAGTTACGCTACAGTGACGTAATCATAGAACATACATGTACATAGCTTCAAAGGATTGGAATGAAATCCTCAGTAAGAAAAAAAGAGTATGCATTTATATGCAGAATTCATTCACTAAATGAAAGGACGATAATCGAAAATGCCAGACGTTGCAATCTTATTGAAAATTGAAAAAAGGGATAATCTTATATCAAATTCTAAGTAAACAATGATACATTTTATGCATGATTTTTACTCTAATCAATAAAAGCGATATGTTTACAATCGTACACATAAGTCTTTCATTAATAGACAGTATTTCATTGTAAATAACTTGCAAAATAACTTCTTTTTTTGTTTATCTATAAAATATTTTATTGAACTCAATAAT